GTTTTGTCCACCTGTCCTTTCTCCTGAGCAGCAAGCTCTGTGCAATCCTTGCCCCTTTAGCAGCCCTCTCACTGTTAGGAAGTCTCTCAGGTTGCCCACCTTTCTTTTGTCCCAGAGTGGCCAGATGTAGATTCCTGGTTTCCACAAGTGGCTGGAATTTCAGTCTCTCTAAGTATTCTGCCTGTCTTAGCATTCCAACCCCACTAATCTCTGTAGCACCATGCAATGTAGGTTCTTGCTCCCAGAGCACATCTCCAGGGCTGGGTGTTCCGCAGTCCTAGGCCCCCACCCTCTCCATTTCTCTTCCTCCTGCCAGTGAGTTGGGGTGGGGGAAGGACTTGGGTCCCGCCAGGTCACTGCTTTGGTACGTTACCCTATTCTGTGAGGTCTGTTCTTTCCTCCAGGTGTATGCAGTCTGGCACAGGCTTCTTTCCTGTTGTTTTTTAGGATTAGTTGTATTAACTGTATTTTCATATTATATGTGGTTTTCAGAGAAGGGCTCTGTCTCACCTCTCACACCACCATCTTTAATCCTGTCTCCCTCTTTATTTATCCTTATATAAGACTCACTTTCAATTATTTAAACTTTATAATAGTTATGTACGGTAGGACTAATGTCTTTTTCCCCTTTTCCATTTCTTAGAATTTTTAAATCTCTTCTTGCCTAACATTTCAGATTAATTTTAGAATCAGTTTGATAACAAATTTCAAAACACAAGGAAATAGAAATACCACAGAAGCTTTTAGGACTTGGATTTTGTATTCATAGGATAAGGAACTTGTCCTACTTTAGCGGAGGAACTTGAAAATCTTAGTGGCATATACAGTAAAGGTTTCATAAAGTCTGGGGCAGGGAGTGACTCTGCTTACATAGTCATTTAGGGACCCAGTTTGCCATCTTCGACATGTGGCTCTATTAAGCCTCAGCTTTGTAAGCAGGAGCCTCTGTATATGGCTAACAGATGAACAGAGAGAAAGTAAAATTGTGTGGCAGGTGTTTATGGACCAGGCCTTGACGTGAGGTAAATCCCTGGTACCCATATACTCCATTGGCCAGAACTCACACGCATGCTTCATTGCAGAGAACATAGGAAGAACAGAAACTAGTGAACAGCTAGCCAGACTCTTCCAAAGATGGGAATTGTATTGAGCCTATTTTTGTATTTACGAAAAGTTGATGTAATAAATTGAGTCTGCCTTTGTAAGAGTATGTATTTTTCTTTTCAAGAATCTTGAAGTCTTACAGAAATGTTCTGTAGTTTCCTTAACAAAGATCTGCATGCCTCTTTTACCATTATTCCTAGGTATTTATTGCTGATGTTTTGAAGGTTAATTGTTTTTCCATTATATCTTATAAACGGTTATTGCTGCTGTAATGAAAATTTTTTACTTTGTTTTATATTTGCATATTTGGGTATTTAAGGGAATTCTGAATATTTCACTGATTCCTTTGAAATTTCTAAATATAATGGACACATGTCTGCAAAGAGAAGTGTCTTTTTTTCTAGTAATTCAGACTGCGGTAATTAATTAAAAGTGCTTTGGTTGCAGTAAGACCTGTTGGTTAGTTTGAGTTATACTTTTTTCTTTGTGAACTTGAACAAGCAGTGTAGCCTCTGAGCCTCAGTTTCCTTTAAATCTAGAAAATGGGGATAACAGTAGTATCCATTTTGTTATAAGAATTGAAGAAAAAAAGCTTGTAGAATAGTACAATACCAAGTGTGTGGTAGGTCCTTGAAAAGTTGCCATTAGCGTTATAATTATTTCTGTATATTATTTTAATGCATTTGTCAGAACTTAGAGAACACTATTGAATTAAAATTATACTGTTGTGATAGCTTTATTCTGTTCTGATTTTCATTGGAATGCCTCTGCTTACTACATGAAAAATTTTGAGTGAGATAGTGGTGGTTGATAATAGATTTTCTTTTTTATTATCCTGGTTTCCTAAGAAATTATAAAATTTAAAATTTAAAGGTATCAATGAAATCAGGAATTGTACTGAATTTTTTTCAAATCATATTTTGGGATAGATTTAAGCAGTTATTTGGGTTTTCTTCTTTTATCTATTGATATGAAATACAATATTTTTCCCAGTACTGAAACATCCTTCATTTCTGAGAGAAGAGTTCTGCTCTCAGCTCACAAAGCTGAGGCTGTAATAAACATTTTAATGTTTTTCCAAATTTTCTCTAGTTCTATGTTTTGACTAATTTATGTTTTGGTAACTTAAAAAAAAATAGGTAACTTGTTATCCTTTTCTATGCTGTGTTGCATGAATGTATGTTCCTTAAGAATTTGAAAGGAATCACCGGTAAAACTCTAGTCCTCTAATCTTTTTTAGAAGCATTTCTTGGGTTATCTTTTCCCATTTCCTTAATATTAAGTAATCTCTTTGGACATTATCTTTCTTTCTTAGTTGAAAGATTTTAGAGTTTTAGTCAGGGTTCTTTAGTCAGGCTTCTTAAACAAGCACAGGTAAAACGAGGTGTGATTGTATGGTGATTGTCTTACTGGGCTCTAGGAAACAGTGAACAGTCTTATTGGGAGGGATCAAGGCAACCTTGGGACAAGTTGCTCTGTTATCTTTCTCTCATGGCTTTTTACTTCTCTTGTGCATAGTTTTGTTTCTCCAGCAGGCTTCCCCTGAGCCGGTTCTCTCCTACCTTTGAGGTACACACAGCCCCGTGGTAACTGCCTGGTGTTGTCAACAGCTGTGATGTGATGCTGTGTGACTCTCCAACTCCAGCCCTTTCGATTCACTGGGTTTTCCCTTTGCTTAGATTCTCAGAAGGGATAAATTGAATCAGATTATTTTTGTTGGTTAGGCTACATCAGTTGTAGGTCCTAGCAGACATCTGGATAGTGTTTTTGGAGTTTTACCTCTTCAGTTAAATGAGCTGTGACTGGGTGGGAGGTGGGTCTGTGATTACTCAGAAGCAGCTACTATGGTTACTGGGCAAGCTTCCTGGGAAGAGGGCTGATTATCAGGCACCAAAATTTTGTCTAGTATGGTAATGCTTTATCTTTTCCAGGAAATAAATTTTTCCCTTGATTTGAATATACTGTTACCAAATGCTTGTCCTTTGACTTGTTTGTGCATGGCCACGTGCCCTTCAGTCCAAGGCTGTTTCAGTAAATCTAGGTGGAATCTGGATTTTCAACAGACTTTCTAAAGGTGTCAGATATACAGGGCATTGGGAGCTGTAGGAATGATCTGATCCATATCCTTTGTTACCTGTTCTCATTTCATATTTTATTTTCTTGAATTTGTTCTCTTTGAATATTTGAGTGCCTATGAAATCATTTGAGGTTTGTATCTGGAGAAGCTAGTATAAGCCTTTCTCTCCAATTTTCAGTATTAAATGGACATGAATTTAGCAGAGCTCTGCTGGACTGAGTGTAGTCCATTCCAACCTTATTGTCTGGGGCTGTGTGTACCTCAAAGGCAGATTAACAGATGAACTACAACCCTTAGTAGGCAGTGCTACTAGAGACATCTTACCTCCTGTACACCACACAGTGGACTATAGTTCTATAGATAAAATGTACTAATACTAGAAGCCCATTTTCCTTACATGTACACACTTTCCCCCAGCCTCCCTTGCATTACTTGAAATTAAGAGTCTTGAGTGGATGGAAAAATGGGACTTAAAAGGGAAGAGCATCTATAAACCACTGATTTGTATTTCTCAACCTGGTTCTTTTGGTCTTGTAGCTAGTGGAAATTTTACTTTGAGTTCAAGAAGTTTAATGGATAACTATAAGCAGACAGTTTTGAGTGGAAATCTAAATTTATTTATTTTTATTTTATTTTATTTTATTTTTTTGAGAGGGCATCTCTCATATTTATTGATCAAATGGTTGTTAACAACAATAAAATTCTGTATAGGGAACTCAATGCACAATCATTAATCAACCCCAAGCCTAATTCTCGTTAGTCTCCAATCTTCTGAAACATAACGAACAAGTTCTTACATGGTGAACAAATTCTTACATAGTGAATAAGTTCTTACATGGTGAACAGTGCAAGGGCAGTCATATCACAGAAACTTTCGGTTTTGATTGTGCATCATGAACTATAAACAATCAAGTCAGATATGATTATTCATTTGATTTTTATACTTGATTTATATGTGAATCCCACATTTTTTCCTTACTATTATTATTATTATTTTTTTAAATAAAATGCTGAAGTGGTAGGTAGATGCAAGATAAAGGTAGAAAACATAATTTAGTGCTGTAAGAGGGCAAATGTAGATGATCAGGTGTGTGCCTATAGACTAAGTATTAATCCAAGCTAGACAAGGGCAACAAAACATCCACGGATGCAGAAGATTTCTCTCCAAACAGGGGGGGTGAGGTTCTAAGCCTCCCCTCTGTTGGCCCCCAATTTCTCACCTGATGGCCCCCCTGCGACTGTGCCTGTCTTAGGTTGTTCCTCCCTTGAGGAATCTTACCCGTCTCTGGCTAACCAGTCATCTTCCAGGGTAAATTTATTTTTTAATGGAAATATTTAAAATTGATTATACATCAAATACAACTCAAGCCCAAATACATTGTTTTGAAATGTTTGGCTTTTGTACATACACATGAACACAAACACTAATCCTGATTTTCAGTAGTTTATTTTTAAATTGTAAATATTAATATTAAAGTAGAATTTTCTCCTTGGGGTTCTTGTTGATTTATTTATATAGTTTTATCATTCTATTGCTTAATTCTAAATATAGTAGGAAAATATCCATGTATACTCTTAAAAATTAAAAACTTCCAGGCTTATTTTGATTTTCATTCTCTAATAGGCAGAGTAAGTTATGTAAATATACTGCAGATCTTTTGTAAAGAAGTGTTGATGTTCAAATCCCTAGCCTATTAAATACAGATCATTCTCCTTTCTGAATCAGAGAGACACAATCAGCTCTGTTCTTAGATTGCATGCATTTTATTGTTAAAAAAACTTATAAATGTATAATTAATTCTTCTCTCTCTTTTGCTAGTAATCCTGTGGATTTGAGTAACCCAGCCATTATAAGCTCTACTCCCAAATTTCAGGAACAGTTCTTGAATGTGAGCGGAATGCCACAAGAATTGAATCAGTATCCCTGCCTTAAACATCTGCCTCAGATATTTTTTCGTGCCATGCGTGGAATCAGCTGTCTGGTGGATGCATTCTTAGGTGAATTTTGTGTATGTTGCTAGGTGTTTGAAGAGTACATGTAAATAACTTGAGAGTCTAGTTTTAGAAATTATTATGGCAATTGCAGAGAAAAAATTGAACAGGTTTGATCATAAATCAAAAATTTATATTTGATTATAAATAAAGTAGGAAAAATTATTTGCAAGAAATGTATAACTAGAGGGTTTGTTATGTTTATATAAGTAGATCAAACAGTGATAGGAAAACAAATAAGACGTGGTAGATAAATGGACAAAAGATATGAATAAATGATTTGCTAAAGAGAAAGGTGTTCATTCTCACTAATAATCCAAGAAAATACAGATTAAATGCATTAGGTATCATTCTTATGTGCATCATTAGGAAATAAACTATACCTTTTCTGAATTATGGTTTCAAACTGTTTTTCACATTTTAGAAATATGAAAAGTCAGAATTTTTTAACCTGTTGAAAGACAGTGGTATTTAATATCTGTCATTTTCTAAAACATCTGTTATGTGCACTTGTTAATACATTATAGCTAATATATTCATTCAGATTAAGTTTGACTGCCACATAACAACCAAAAATACCAGTGGATTAAACAAGATAGTTTATTTTCATACATGTTGTGGTTTAAACAAGATAGTTTATTTTCATACATGTTAAGTCCAGGGCTAGGCAATATAGGGCTGCTATAATAGTTCCACAATTGTCAGGGACCCAAGGCCCTCCCATCTTACAGCTGTCCATTCTGTGTTCACTGTGTCATGGGCCATGTTGGTTACATAAATTCCAACTACACTGCTTAGGAATTAGGAAGGAGTTGATTGGTATTTTTAAGGAGATTTCTTGGAAGACCCACCCAGCAACCACCCACTTCTCTGGTTAGAACATGGCCACATATAGCTGTAAGGGAAGCTTGAAAATTTAGTTTTTTATTCTGGGTAGCCATGTACAACTAAATTATGCATTCTCTAACTCAGGAAGAAAGGGTGAGTGGATATTGGGAGGCAGTTCTTAGTTTTTGCTGTGGTCTGTCCTGAGCCTTCACTAGTGTTGCTTGGGGAAGATATTCTGACCATATATTTTGAACTTTGAAGAGTACGTTTGTCTCTTTTTAAAGGCATTTCTAGACCCCGATCAGACAGTGCTCCTCCAACACCTGTGAATAGATTAAGTATGCCTCAGAGCACTGCTGTCAATACCACCCCACCACATAACCGGAGGCACCGGGCTGTTACTGTGAATAAGGTCACCATGAAGACAAGCGCAGTAAGAGTTTTTGTCAACATCATTATTCTGTATAAATTTGGCTTTTTAATCTGACGTCCTTCTTAAAAAAACCTGCTATTTTCATAAACTTTTCATGAGTGTGTATATATACTTGTGTTCTCCTAATAGGTTAGTACTGCTCATGCCTCAAAAGTTCAGCACCAGACATCTTCAACCTCTCCTCTCTCAAGTCCAAATCAGACTAGTTCAGAACCCCGACCACTGCCTGCCCCTCGGAGACCAAAGGTTAACAGCATCTTGAATCTGTTCGGATCATGGTTATTTGATGCAGCATTTGTTCACTGTAAACTTCATAATGGGATAAACAGAGACAGCAGCATGACTGGTAAATATTCCTCAAGAAATATGTTATCATTTTTTTCCTTTTCTTTTTTTTCTTTTTAATCTTTCCTACCTGCAAGATTAATATGTATCTTAAAAAGCTCTCTGTCTCTGACCAAGCAATGTCTTGCGCTTAACCCCTTCCAGCTGAAGTAGCAGAATTTTTTGGAAGTTTTCTTACTTGTCCTTTTTAGGTATGTTCTGTGAGGTTTGGCTTTTGTCTGGTTTTATTAGACACATTTCAGGTTAGCCACTTTTTGTTGAATCATTCCTTTTAGTAGGTGACCTGGAAGTCCCTTCATGTCAGCCAGGATAATAATATCAATACAAAGAATTAAAGATTTTGATCAGATATTTATTCATAAGTGTTTTCTTAGATTTTGACAGCTATCCACTCGTTAATACATATAAGTACTAGAAGATTTCTGCTTCACAGATGATTATAACTTCTCAAGTTTTAGTCTAGAGAACTTTATTCCATGGGTATACTTTTCAAAAATATCATTTGCTCTAGAACTAAATAAGACTCATGGAGAATTAATTACTCAACCATGATACTTTCATTTAAATTTTATTACAGAAATGAACTGTCTGAATAAAATCTGATTTATTTTTGTCATCTTGCTGTTATAATTGAAAGTAGTAGCATAGGATACAGGATAGGAGAATAGAGTAATACAGAATGTACGGGATATTACAACATGTCTCATAGAACTGAACAGTAATAATGGCTAGCATTTATTGAGCTGCAATTACTGTGTGCCATGAAGCACTGTGCTGTATGCATTAATGAGTGTATTGATTGTTTGGTAAGAAAGCACTTTTCCACTGGGGTTGGAAGTAGATTGAGATAAATGGATGCCTAATTGCATTAGTTCATGTATCTCTAGGGAGCAGTGTTAATTCCAAGGGTAAAACTAATATAATGGCCATAAGAGTCTCTACTTTCTCCCAGAAACACATTTTTATGTATCATCTCAGAACTAAGGTCTGTGTTTGTGAGCATTATACATAGAATTATTTTGGATGTTCTTACAAGTCTTTTAAACAATTTAGAAGAGTTGTGAAAAAGAGATATTTTCAGGAATATAATTTGTGATTACATAGTTGAGTTTTGGGGTTCCTTTGTTTATTTTGTTCAAATTCAGACACTTTATAGCCTACCATTTCCATAGTATATTTTATTTACAAACGTGAAATTAGTGCTTGCTTATATATAAATAAATGTACTTATGATAACTAAATGAAAGCTTTTAAAAACCATTTGGCTTGTTTTCTGATGTTCACGTGCTTTATATTTTGAGTTTTCTGAACCACTTTTATATTTATTAATTTTAAAAATATTTTTATATATATACTTACATAAAACTTTTATATTTATATAAAAATTTATACTAACTAGGATGAGCACATATTTTTATTTTTACTAAGATACAATTCTTAACGATATAACTTTTTGGTGTCAAGCTGTTCACACTACATCCCTGAATCCAGACTGTCTCAGCCTGCCACCTTCTTGGTAGGCTTGCTTAAGGGGAACTCACAAATATTTCCATTCTCTAGGGAATCTGTACGTTTTGCTTACCTTTTGTGCCATAAGGTAGAAACCAGAATTCATATCTCAAGTGAACAACAAATTCTTACTTTTAACTCAACATTTTCTTTGGTAGGAAAAGGATAGAAACTCCTCTTCCCCTTCTTGTGTTCAGAGATGAGAAAGGCTGTTACATTACCCAGAAGATAGGAGGTGTCCTGATAGTTGAATGGGTTAGAGTGCTGTTGGGTTGCCACCCTTGAGATCTTGGGGGTGGTGGGAGGTATGGGAACACTAACACTGTTAATCTGTTTTCTAAATACTGGCTGCCATCAAGGAATTCTGCCATGTAGTTCACCTCTAACTTAAAATGTTCGCTTCTTTAGATCTGTGACAGTACACTGTGCTTTGTAAAAGTAACATTGAGCTGGGAAGGGTTAATGAACTAAAATTATAATGCACGTTATGGGCTGTTCAAAACCTCGATTCTTTGTAGTTGTGTAATTTTCTTCGTTCATTGTTTTGCATGATACAAAAATCATAATTTTGATCTGAATGCACAATTTCCTGTTTTTGAACTAGCTTGTGGTATCATAAAGCTTTTAATCTTAACTTTTAAAAAGAGAAAAAGCTTAACTTATTGTAAAATTTCACCATCTTTAAAGTATTTATAATTACTGCTGTCCTTTGATTTGTTTCCATTTATTTCTATTATCTTGCAGCATCTTTTATCCAAATTCTTCTTTCTTATAAATCTTGTAAGTAGGAACCAGAAGCTTCTCCTTAATTGCAGTCATGTTTTTATTTTTTTTCATAATTCCATTAAAAAATTTGATTGTCATTGTCTCTTGTAGTTTTTGCACTTGGGAAGAAAAATACTTTTCTGTGTTTTGAATGGGGAAGATTGTTGGCAAAAGCAAATTAATCTGCCTGAATCAGTCCCATTATTTCTGTACACTAGTCTGGTCATGTCATGAATTCCAGGACTTTGCACTAACTGTGTTTTGGCTTTTTTATTTTAAAGCTTTAAGCTTATTTTTATACAGATTTAGTGTTTGATTTGTATGCATTCTGCATGTAGTGTTTTTCCAATGTATTATTGCTGGATAGCTTATTCAGGATTAAAAATGGCTCATGGGAAGTTGCATAAAGATTTATGCTTGACTCTGCATTGTGTTAAATCTATTAATACAAAATCATTTAAAGATTTCATGAAGAATAATAAAAGATTTCAGAGTAATTTTGAATACACTGTGAAATCTTTTTTAAAAATAAAAGCAACTTTCAAAGGGCTCCTGTTTCAGTGACAACGAATGACCATGAGAATCTTTTACCAATCTGATTTTCTGATTTATCAACCTCAAGTTAGCTGCTGTCTGTGGTTGTTAAAATTCATTCTCATTTTGCTTGGTTGGGCGATTCTTTGGTGTGTGTTTTGGAGTTGGGTGGGGGGTGGGAATGCTCTCTCTTCTTCCCTACCCATTTCTCATCCTTTCTTTGCCCTCTCCCTAAAATACACAAACTGGCATAGGATTTCCCATTTAATTATGTCCATTTGGAGTAAGGTATAAATTTTAAAAATCGAAAAATTCTTATTATTTAAGCATCATTCTATAGAGGGAGGAAAAAACAGAATAAATAATAGAAAAGCCAAATTCTGTATATCTGTATATAAATACAGATACATATATATACACATATATATGTATATATATATAAATATACTCTGCTGATCAAAAGTTCAGTTGAGAAATGCTTCCTGTAGAATTAATTAAGCTGACAGTACCACTGTACATTTTTTGTTACCCTTTTTCAAAGATTTTAGAGAGCCCCCTTTAAAAACAAAATAAGACATAGTTGCTAAACAAGAGCATTATTGGATTCTATTCAAGTAGCTCTTTAATGACACCAGTATTTGATCTTTGTGTCCAGGGTCCCATGAGCCTGTTTCCGTATTGACAAATATAATAAAACCCTCCTTTTCTCTCCCCAGCCATTACAACACAAGCTAGCATGGAGTTTCGACGGAAAGGGTCACAAATGTCCACAGACACCATGGTTTCCAATCCTATGTTTGATGCAAGTGAATTTCCTGATAACTATGAAGCAGGAAGAGCTGAGGCTTGTGGGACACTGTGTAGGATTTTTTGTAGCAAGAAGACTGGAGAAGAGATTCTGCCAGCTTATTTATCCAGGTCTTAGAACTTTTTTGTTTATTTCTTCATTTATATAGTTTTTATAGTGTAACTCTATGGTAGCATGGCTTGGTAGGCTGAATTGACAAGTAAATGTTGGTCTGAAATACCTGCAAATGTCTGTAAATAATTGAAATTTTTGCTTAAATTCTTCTCTTTTCCTGCCTCTTCATATTTGGTAAAGATCCCTGAGATGCTTTTTATTTTAGAGTTATTATCCTACCATATTTGATTTTTATTAATTATGGGGAGATTTGAAAGGACCATACTGATTTTTAAATTAATTTTTAGCATAGTATTAGGCACTGTAGATGGTCCAGAAATGTTAGCTCTGTAAATTTGGTCTCTGAAGAGCTTATTTTCTCAAGTGAGCAAAGCCATGTGCATACATAACAATGATCTAATAGCTATAGGAAGTTGGTGGGAGAAGGCGCAGATAAAGTGCTGGGGGCATTCAGAGGAAGAAGCAGCACGCATTTACGCGAGGAGTTAAGGAAAGAGTTACAGAAGACTGGGTGATTGTGCTAGACGTATAAAGGATGGGTTGTATTTAGACTATGTTAGCAAGTTCGGTAGGGTCACTTTACCCAAATCTATGATTTCAGCCATCTTTGTGAATGGCTCTGCTGTCCATTCACTTGCTCAGGCTAGAAAACTAGGAGACATTTTAGACTCCTTTCCCTCTGTATCTTTAGTTGATCAACCAACCCTTGTCTGCTATTTAACCCTCCTCCTAATCTCTCCACTCTGATCCACCATGACCCTTCAGGCTTTGTCTCTTTTTTCCTAAATAAACTGGTAATGACCTCCTATTTCTCTTGACTATTTTGCTTTCTTCAAATGATCATTCACACAGCTGCTAAAGTGATGTTAGTATCAACAAGAGCATTCAGGTGTCTGTGTACCTGCTAGGTTCTCAGAAGAGAAAATTAAACTGACTCATATGGAACCAAGTCCAGAAGCACATGGCATGAAACAGAATGGTACATGCAGGGAACTAATCAAGGGTATCTTAATAGGCTTTTGGTTTTAAGTAACAGGAAACCTCAGTGTGACTTCGGCAAAGGGGGAATGAATTGTGAAAACTAGTGCTATTTAATACATTCTAAAGTCAAGATGTGCAGCAGGGCAGGAACCAAAGACTAAAAAGTGCTCAAAGACCAAAACACTTTTCTTCTTTCAGTTTCTCTGTCTTCACAGTATCCCAGAATTGCTTCATTCTTCTCTTCTCTGCAGATCATTTTTCAATGTTGTAATATGCTTCTAAGTTCTCAATTTCCATGGCCGTGGTCTAGATGGCCAGCAGGGCCAATTACCATCTCTGAATACTAATTTCATATTCCTGGGAAAGAGAATCTGATTAATCAGGTGTCTGCCCTCTAGTCTAGTCAGTATGGCTTTGAGGGTGGGTCACATGGAGTACTGAAGTTAACCCTTGTGGTGAGGGTACATTTCTCTGGAGGGAACCATACGTTAGAGAGAGACCCCAAATGATATCAATAGCAGCAAAGGAGAAGGCTATAATCCTGAGCTTTTTGTCTGGTCCATTAAGACTATAGGCTGTAGTATGATCAACTAAAAGAACAGATTTGTGAGAGGATGAATGATGAATTTAGTTTTGAACCTGTTGACTTCTAGGTATATGGAGTATGTTTTTCAATTCATTTATTAAGTTCCTACTTTGTGGCAGATACTGTGTACCAGGAATACTGGAGTAATCAATGCCCTCAAGTACCCAATGTACTTTTTTGGCTAATAGATTTAAAACTCAGTTGAGAGGTCTGGGCTGGAGACTGACTTGATTATATTGAGTGGCTGAGATAGTGTTTAAAACCAGGCTAGTGGAAGTGATAGTGTAGAGAACTGAGATTGGCAGCCTGGAGAACACAAATATTAGGTGGCAAGTGGACCAAGAGGATCTGGTGAAGGAAATTGCCACACAGGCCAGAAAAGAGTAAGGAGAGAAGGAGGGAATACTTTAAAAAGACAAAGTTAGACTTAGACATGTCTTCTGCAATTAACAATTGAGAGACCATTTGTTTTTTGTTTTGTTTTGTTTTTTGTTTTTATTTTGTTATCATTAATCTACAATTACATGAGCAACATTGTGGTTACTAGACTCCCCCCATCATCAAGTCCCCCCCACAAGCCCCATTACAGTCACTGTCCATCAGCGTAGTAAGATGCTATAGAATCACTACTTGTCTTCTCTGTGGTGTACAGCCCTCCCCGTGCCCCCNAATGCCCCTTTCCCCCCTTGTCCCTCCCTTCCCACCCATCCTCCCCAGTCCCTTTCCCTTTGGTAACTGTTAGTCTATTCTTAGGTTCTGTGAGTCTGCTGCTCTTTTGTTCCTTCAGCTTTTTTCTTTGTCCTTATACTCCACATAGGAGTGAAATCATTTGATACTTGTCTTTTTCCGCCTGGCTTATTTCACTGAGCATAATACCCTCTAGCTCCATCCATGTTGTTGCAAATGGTAGGATTTGTTGCCATTTGTTATTTTGTTAGTATGGTTTTAATAGAGTTCTAGGGAGAGAGAATAGATTAAAATGGCTTGCACAGTGACCGGAGGTAAAAAAGTTTTTTTTGAAGAGTACTGCAGAGAAGAGAAAAATGCCTTATGGTAACAGAAGAGTTTACCATATAGTTGCTTTAGAAAGATGGGAGATTGAATACTCAGTTGATTGGGGGTTAGGGAAGGAGGTTGTAAGTAAGGTATACTTGGGCATATTTCTAAAAGGAGTCTTATTCAGAAGTAACCTTTATATCATGATGAATGCAGGGTTGAATGAGCTATTTTCTTTCATTGTTCCCCTAGAAATAATGGGGATAGAGAAAAGAGACAAAAGTTTTTTCCTAGGAATTAGGAAATGCTGCAGAATTTTACTTGGCATGAGTTCAGTTCAGTAATTCCACCAATTATAATCACTGCAGCCATTGGTTTTATTTTGTTTTGGTTGCTTCATTGACAGGCACCTATAATCTTGAGTTGCAAAGCTTAAAACTTCAAAAAGATTCAGACATGAATCTTTTTTTTTTTAATTAGGAAAGACCATTTTGTTCTTAGTGTATTTGATGCTGAAATGTCCGAACTCCAGTAATATTTTTAAAGGATAGAAGTAATAAAGAGTAGAAATAGACTTTCAGATGATCATGTAGAAAATAATAATTATGAAAACGATTGATCAGCAGTTTGTTTAAAATATTTTTCTTGCTTTCGCAGATTTTACATGCTTTTAATTCAAGGTTTGCAGATAAATGATTATGTGTGCCATCCTGTCTTGGCCAGCGTTATTCTAAACTCCCCTCCTTTGTTCTGCTGTGACTTGAAAGGAATTGATGTTGTGGTTCCTTACTTTATTTCAGCTCTTGAAACCATTTTGCCTGACAGGTAAGCTATCATTCTGTACTAGTATATTACTTGTCGGGTTTGGCCTGGTCTGTTTTGGTGCTTCCTCCCCACTTTCCTCATTTATTCTGTCTTCGTAGCCCAAGAGAACTCAGGCCACATTAAATGAGTATAAAGCATCCTGACCCACCTTATCCGTGAACTTCTGTTCTGATTTGTCCATGTGTGTGTGTTGAATCCTTTTTGGCCTGGTCTAGAGGGCTAACAGCAGAGGTCCTAGTTTTGTAGAGTAGGCCTTACATTTAAAATCAGTCAGATTTTGTTTAATTCTGTTAACAGTTTTACATAGAAATTCTCACACACACAGATACACACAGAAATTGTAGTCCTACAAACTCAATAAAAAGTAGTTACTTGGATTCTTTGTAAAGCCAAGCCCAGTGTTTCTATTGTGAAAATTGACATAAATGTATATTTGGCAATAGGTGAAAAAACATTTTGGTTTGGAAATCCTAATAGCTTTTTTTTTTTTTTTTTTTTTTTT